TTTTGTTACCTTGGTTCCTTAGTCTTCTATACCTGGTGGACTTATCATGGGTTTGTACCAAAGTCTTATGCAACACCGATTAATATTCCTCTATATACATGTAATATTACACTTCACATAGATGCCTTAAGCTCCTAAAGCCAGGAAGACCCAGCCTGGTGTACCTGGGTAACAGCCACATAAGGCCAACCGATCGACAGGAGACAATTACTGTAATACAGATATAATTTCCAAATTTCATTGTAGGTGGGATTTGAACCTTAGACCTGCCACTTGGAGGATAACAACCCAACTACTATACTAGGATCACTATCCTCCAATTAATTTAGTTTTTATTAATGCAGATATACTATGATTACTAGGTTTTTAAAATAGTTTACTTATATAAAGAACCTTTAACTTTGTACTAAGCTTATCAAAATCTTCAGTTACTTAATTTTTAATTAACTTAGTATTATTATAGTTAAGACCAATACTTACAGTTAGAGTAATTTTTAAATTATTATATTTTTGTAGAGTTTATATAAACTTAGTATCTTTCTTTACAATCTTATTAATACTTTGTATATCTGTAAATTCTTCTATATTACTAATTTAGTTACTATATATAGTATAACTTTTTGTCAGATTTAACTAATAACTAAATTAGTAAATTCTTTTATCTAGAATTTTTGTCTATATAGTTTATTTAGTTCAGATTTCTGTTTCTAAATCAAGATTTTCATAAATAATATTATTAAAGATTGTATTACCTCTCTATTTAGAATTTTTAAACAAAACTTCTTACAAAGTATATATTTTCCAAAGTTATTTATATAATATTGCATACACTAAAATTAATTTTAATAAAATCAAAATTACAAGATTACAACTCCAAATATCTTAATCAAATTGTCAGAATAGAACTATTTTTCAAATTTTTATTAGTTGTAAGATTTGAACTTGAATTTATTGCTTGAAAAATTACAATTCAACTACTATACTAAAATCATTATTCTCAGAATATAGAAATTTTAAAAAATAAAAATTATTTAAATAAAAAAAAATTATTTAAAAACTTTATTAATAATACTAATAAATATAAAATTTAAATTTTATTAATTTAAAAAATATGATGATTTAGTAAAGTAAATAAGTTGTCAATTCTATTAAGTAATAGAATGGGTATTCAAATCTTATTTATAACAAAAATTTAGATAATTATTCATAGAATATTCATATTATAGCAACTGTTTCTAATAATTAAATTAAGATATCTGTAATAATAGTTATACAAATATGACTAGTAGGTCATAAAACATTTATTTTTTTTTTAGTATTAAGATAACCTCTTTTGGTTCTAACTTTTTATTAATACTTATATTGGGTATATATATATATAGACATATTTATATTAAACTATTAAACAAGTATACAATTAGCTACATGTATAACTTTTTTATATTACCTATTTAAGAAGTCTATCTGAAGATTCTTTACCAGTTGTTGTACCTAATATTCTGCTTAGATGTTTTATTTAAATTCTTTGATCTAATACTAATATTAATTTTTCTAGATTACAGACTCAGATCCTTTTGTTATTAACCTTTAGGATTATAATTCTTAGACTATTTTTATCCTAAAAATAAATCTACCAAAGTGAGCTGTATTTTTTTTTTTATTGCTAACCTGGTTTGATGCTATAGCTAAGACTAACACTTGCAGTTAGAATTATTCATTAAACTGCTATTACTCTTATAAAGTTTACTTAAACTCTGATACTTATCTTTTTTAACATCTTCTTTATCATCTCTTACTAATTGTTATTCAGAACCAATAGGATTTCCTAGATTACCAATCCAGATGGCCCAGTATAATATACTTATATATTGTTACAAAGTAGATTATTAGCATAGCATAAGTATATTATATTATTAGTAGTTATTATATATTCATTATTGTATTTTATATTATATTTATTATTAGTTATTAGTATAGTTATATTATAGTATATAGTAGTTAGATAATAGGATCTTAATTGGCTGTTAGAAATATGATACAGACACATAACATTGAATAACATCTATGATGTCACTATTGTCTTACAAACTCCAAATATCTCTACACAAGTCTTATGTATTCTAGTACAATTTACTGTATCAAATAACATAGTAAAAGAATTCCAAGTATTCTCAACACAATTCCCAAGTATTTTTACACAATCTCAAGTATCTCCAACACAATTTCCAAGTGTTTCTGCACAATCTCAACTATTTCTACATAAACTCAAATATCTTAATACAAGCTTCAAATATTTCAAGTACAAATGACAAATACACATAAACATTGTTCTAACTATTCCTATACAAACTCTACTTGCCTCTGTATAATCTTCACTACCCCAAATACAGTATCAAAAGATGTTACTTAAACCCCTACTACTCCTACTACCCCTACTACCTCCATTAGGTAAAAAGATATATAAAGAGTATCTTTTTCTCTTTCCTGCCAATTCTAAGTTCTATACTTTAATTTAGACATAATGACCTTTTAATTATAAAGTGTGATATTCTGTCTTTAGAATAATTCCTATAGGCAAGGTTGTTAACATATGTGTTGTTAATAAAAAATTAATCTATATACTGTTATTATCTTGAACTGTTTATCTGCTACTGTATAGTAAAGTGAACTACTATACCTCCACTCTGTATATATTTGCAATAGTCAATTACTGTATTGGGTAACCTTATTACTTGGTTGTATTGTACCAAAAAGACTATAACTCTGTAACAGTATCTTTTTTTTTCTAATGATTTTGACAATCTAATTGGTGCATGTGCTTCTCTTACATATCTGTTATTCAGTTTATTTGATAATTCTTTTGAAAATGTTTTATGAACTTTAATTAATCTAATAACATTATTGAAAGTTTGTATTATTTCTTGACTCAAAATTTTCAAGTAAACTTCTGTCTTTATGGTTTCTTAATTTTCTATACCCAGTGGTCTTATTATAGGTTTGTACTAAGGCTTTATATAATACTAATTTTTCATATTCCTCTATATACATGTAATATTATACTTTACATAAATGTTCTAAGTATTCAAAATCAGATGGGTCCTGATCTGATATATTTAAGATTACAGATGCATAAATCCAATTGATTGATAAGAGACAGTTATTATAATACAAATATAATTTCTAAAATTTATCATATATAAAAATTGAACCTTAGATTTGTTACTTAAGATTAACAACCTATTCATTTTACTAGATTGTCACACCTTCATTATAAAACATTTATATAAGTATAAGATTACACAAAAAAATACAAACTAATATTAGGTAATACAAACTCTAAATAAGTTCTTGTAACTATATAAATTTGTTAAAATTAGAAAACAAAAAGTTCATTTAAGAAAACTCAAATAGAAAAATAATACAGATCTTTAATAATATTATTGTAAAAACTATATTTAGAAAACAAATATTAAAACCATAATACCTAAATAGATAAGAATCTCTGGGTGAAAAGTTTTAAAGATATTACCAACTAGATTATCCAAACAAACTAAAATAAAAGAATATTAAACTAATTTAATATACCAATAAACTGATTATAGTTCTATATAAGTTATCTGAATTGAGAATCTAATAAAAAAGTAAAGATATATTAAAATATCAGAAAAATGTTGTAAAGTAGATACTAAGATTTGAATAAAATCTACAAAGGCATAGTAGTTAAATGATATAATTCTGATTGTAAGTGTTAATTTGTTATAATAATATCAGGTTAGCTGTAAAAATAAGTGCAAAAGACTCAGAAAGATATACTTTGAAAATAAAATAATCTTAAAGTTAAGATGATGACCTGGATTTGACCTAGTAATGTTAACACAGATGCAGGTTCAAAGGGGTTAAAATGAAATACCCAAGCAGGAGTTGAACAGACTCCTTAAATAGGTAATATAGAAAAATTATATGTATAGCCAATTGTACACTCTTCCTGTAATGGTTTATAAAATCACATTACCAAAAAAAAAAAGTTTATTGGTTTATTATCACATGTTCAAATGTTTAACTATATCGTTTACCCCTGCTGGTGATATCACCTAGTTGTATAAAAACCAATCAGATCGCTGGATATTGTGTAACTAAAACAAAGCAAAGAAAAAAAAAAAACTTCCAAGATTTTATTTTCGACTTCTAAGCAAAACTTTTCGACGTTAAATTTTATAATATCGAGTGATATCATGAATGTTTTATATCCTGGCCGTACAGGCAAGTGTAATAATAATGCACAGACGGAAAGAGCTTCTTTTTATCCTAAGTATTGATTACGTTTTACTTTCGATAGTTTTAACACAATATTTGGAAGAACGTGATCCCGACAACTGGTCTTACGCTGAATTTTTAAACCTAAACCGCGACGCAATCATCAAGTTACCTCCATTTAACGCCAAATGGACTTCTCTCGATGGTACTTGGCATAGGCGATTCCTTCAAGAAGCGCGTAAACGGGATCCTGCGTCAGTCAATATACTAAAGGAAAGGGTATTTTGTTTTGTTTATAATTAGCGGTAGGGGCCTCCTGACACGTCTCTACTTGAATCCGGAGATTTTCAGCGCTCTCCCTGTCCCAAGTGATGGTGGGGAACCTCCTTGCACGTCTCTACTTGCATTGTAGCCCGATCCCCACCAATCGCGACCCCGCTTTTTATATTGTTAAAGCCTGTACTCATTTTGATGTGAATATTGAATAAATACTTCTTAACGTGAAAAATCGTGTGATTTTGTTCAACTACGCAATAGATTAAATCCGAACAAAATATGAAGTATTACTGGGAAAAGATGATCATTGAACAGAAGGAGGTTAGTTAAGTCGATTTCTTGTTATCTTTATTATAATTAATTTGTAAACATGCAAAACAGCTGTCGGTAAAACGTACACACATCTCCGGTAGTCTTGACCTTCTAAACGATGCTGGGGATTATAATACGCAGAGGTTACGCGATCAAGGGTTTAATGAAGACGAGGTGAGATCAAGAACTGGCGCGACTTACTACATACATTACTCTTACACTATATCTTTGATTTCACTTAGGAAGGAAAATCTTCTGGAAAGGCTCTTAGAAAGAGGAAGAATGTTTGTTATACTGAAGAAACGGAGACGGATTCGGATTACTCCGATTACTCTGGTTATGAATGGAAGGTAGCTAAGCACCAGCATATTTCTGTTACTTCAAAACTTTATTATTAACTTTTTTTTTGTAACAGCCAAATAAAAAATCATACCATATCGAAAAGAGTGTTAATCAAACTGAATTTGATATCGAGAAGTTCGAAGAATTGTACCTTGCAATGGATCCAAATTATATGTGGACACTCGAAAGCGGCCGTAAGGTGGAAACGGTCATTTACGAATTCGCTAAAAGTCTACGTGAAGAATCATATCTTCATTCCTTTATAATCAACGATGCTGATGTTGACACAAAATCATTGTTTTCACGTGATGAATGGGAGGAAATCAAAAATTTTGAAGTAATTGATAGACCAAAGCTTGATCCTTGTCACAAAGAGTTATTGAAAAAATATACTGTCGATAATATGAAAAAATTAAGATCGCTTCTTTTTGAATCTTTTACGCCTGACGGCAAAGAATACGATCGAGACGTTCATTTCGATTTGGATTATATCAACAGTGCTTATCGTGGAATTTTATATATATGGGAAATGGACGAAGATCCTTTTGATGCTTCAAAGCTAGAAGGGTGGTTCCAGATGAACGTATGGAGCCGAATTATAGATCCAGCCTTTTGTAATTTAATTGACGTAATTCGCGGGGAAGGGATGAGTATAGCCTCAAGCGAAAGAAAGAACGTTCAAAGAAAAATACATGACCGTAAAAAAATTGGTAAGAAAGGTGACGGTGTATTTAGGTTACGCAAGGATCATTGGGAGTTCGGCGCAATAGAAGCCGGCCGTAAGTGGGAGGGTCTAAAAGGAACGAAATACATGACAGACTCATTAAAATTATGCAAGATGCTAAAGGACATGCTTGACAAGTTATTTGTAGAATGTGAAATGAAAAAAAATATTGTAGAAAAACTAAAAGTAATAGGAATCCTTCACGGTGCAAATAGGATACAAGTCATAACTGTAGATCATCCTAAAGGATATGTCACGCGAATTAATCGTAATAAGATCCAAGAGGTCGCCGGTCGTTTAACGAACTCAAAACCACTTGCCTTGGTACTGAAAGAAATTTTATATGCAAAATCTGTTATAGTTTCAACATTGGATGTATTTAATAAAAGAAATTATATCAATATCGAAACCTTTCTTGATGATGATGATGGATACCACATACCTGAAGTCATTACTACCACTAAGACATTCACAACTCCACATAATGCACGCACAAAGGACATAACTAATGAAATTAAAGATAAATAGTATCAATATATGTACTAAAACTTATGTACAATTTTCATAAATCATTTTAACTACAATAATTTTTTCTTGACATTCAGTGGAATAATCGACTGTAGACAGCTTGTATATATCATGACGAAGTCCCGAGCTTTACCACATGTATTAATATAAAAACATTTTCCTTGCATTAGAATTTTTATAGTCTTATTTATTGCATATAATTGAAAAATTTGCACGTGAATTAAATCATGTGTAACTTTTGACGGATAAATCAGACTTTCGACTTTAAGATGTTGATTAAATATCGTTTTCGAAACTGTATTTTACAATGTTATATTTTGCAAGTATACTGTAACTTTTTGCAATCCATATAACTCAAAGTAAAGCATATACTAAATGCAACCAACGAGAAACCATAGTATACCTGTGAAATAAAGGTATACGTAATGCAAAAGAACTTTATAATCGGACAAGTATCCCCCTTTCATCATATATTATAATCAGTGTTGGGCTGACCAGACCAATTCGACCATTTGACCAGACCAGTTTGACCAATGACCAGTCTGG